GCTGCCTGGCTCCCACCAGGAAAAGTGTGGTGCCTGGATCTCGTCCACTGATTTTTGCCTCTACCAAGTATTTCTCCAACAATTCTGACACAGTCGTGGGTTCATTCCACTTTGGAGGACACTCCTCCTCCTCTGCCTCCTCAGGCGGGGGCTCAACTGGCACCAAGGCCGCCGGGCTCGATTTGCATCCAAACCTGAAGTCTAATAGAAACTTTGTGTTCAAACCAGATTGCAAGATGGTTGGACATACCAAAGCGCATCAAATGCATGGTACAAAGGATGAGCCAATTTAAGTTGGGAAGCCTGTGGTCGAAATCGTTGAGAAGCTGAATCCACTCTGGTCCGAAGACGACGTCGGATGCGTACAACTGACGAACAGACTGAGGAAGAGAAACATCGAATCGTTCCCATCCAACCTTCCCAGGATCTTTGGATACAGTCACCTGGACATGCTTGAAGTCAAACTGTTTCCAATCAACAGCCTCCGCATTGATAATTGGATTTGGATCATACTCACGCACGTTGCCCATCAAGTGCTTCTTCTTTTTCCAATCCTACAGGGATGTCACAGAGTTGGGCATGAAGGACCCCATATGACTTCATCCATTTATTGGTGATGTGTGAGAAGCTATTTGACCTCCAACAACTAGGGCAATGATTTTTCAAGTGCCCCGTATGCACCTCAAGAAGTCGCATTGCTATGCTTTTCTGGCAGAAATCCACCACATTGGAGATTTTGCTGTTGCCCACCGACATGGTTTTCATGTGAAATGATGGGTGTTGAGTGGGCCACTCCAAAGCCACCGTCTCCAACCATCCGTCATATGGAGTCACGTTCAGGATGCATAGACTCTGGGAAGGAAGCTTGGTGCGGGATATCACTCCTGTCAAGATACTGGTTGGAAAAGCCTTCCCTGCAACGAGTTGGGCTGTTTCTTGAACGTCACTCATAGACCTCATGGGCAGGATTGCAAGTGACCAGCATGCACATCATCCTAATTGACACAAAACTTTGGAGGCTTAAACCCATGGTGTTGTATGGCCTTGTTTTGAACACTATTTGGACAAGCGCCTTGCATCAGCTGCGTGAGGGAGGCTGTCCCTTTCCGCCATTGGAACAATGTATGAGGATTCTGAGGTCCACGGTATGGATTCTCTGGGGCTCCTGAATGGGTACTAAAGGCATCCAACTCCGGAACATGTTCTTTTGCTGGTTTGCTTTGTTTTCAACATATTTACCACTTTAGGCACCCCTGATCCTGTCCACCATCAATGCACACTCTGAAAAAATGTTCTGGTCAAAGGTTGCTTCCTGAAATACTAGCCATCCGAAGAAATTCATTGGCACACGTTTGCTTGCAGGAGGTGGGTCCATGCGGACACTGATGAGCGAGCTGCACAGGCTGCGGGCGTCAGCCTTGTCTTCGATCCTCCTTGGAAACTCAAGACTTATGCAAACATTGTCCGGTCTTTGACAAGTTATTGATGTGTTCTCAACCCTAAGAAAATGATTTAGTAAATCCATGCTTCCGTCGCTCACCCCTCAGTCCATTCGTCACACGTTCTGAGACCAAGTGTGGCGCCAAAACAAACGCGACACTTTTGGTGGGGTTCTTGGTCAGCGCGTTGGAAATCAAGTCGATGGCGTTGTTGAGGTCATTGTTGGAGACACGTCCAAGTTTGGTCAGGTCACACCAGACCAACAAGGCTGTAGAACTCCGAGAAGCTTCATCCACGAACTGCAGGGCAGGGTCATAAAAGGGTCCCATCCCTACTGGTACAACAGCAAGAGGCTTTCTCACAAGTTTATGACCTGGTTCTACCTCCCCACCTTTTCAACCCTTGCTAGAATTTCATGGCTTTGTCCATGCATGAAGGCCAGATTTCTCTCCATGAAATTCTCGATGATGGAAGCACCGATCGTGTTCTGTGCACGGATGTGCAATATCCTTTGCTGGCGCCTTGATCTCTCTGATTGCATTTCTTGCTGGCATAACTGGGCTAGTGATGCGCAGTCCTTCGCCAGTTGAAGCTTGTCTTTCTCCCAAGCAGCCTTGCGTGCATCCGTGTTCAGCTGAGCAATCTGTGCATTGGCTGCAGCAAATGCTGTATCAACCGTGGGGGACGGCAGGTTCTCGGTCCAGAACTGAAGGTAAGATGGTTGGAACGATGGGTCCTTGATGGACAGGGCCTCATTGGCTTCGTCGTTGAAGTCCCTGGCTTTGCGCTCATTCATTCTTAAGGCGTTCTTGAGATTATGTTGTGAAAGAGTTGTTGAAATTAGTTTGAAGTGATTAAAGATTTGGTCCTTCAGAACTACCTAGTTACCCGAAGCCAAACAGCTACCAAACGTGCCAGTTTGGCCCCTCCATTGATCGCCGGAGCAGTGTGTCTTGCAACTCGGCAGGAAACAATGGCCCCCCATCATCCGCCGTCGCTGCAGCCATTGCATCAAAGGCATGGCCAAATAGGCACTGCCTATCCATCTCAGCGTTCCATTCTCCAGACGACAATTTGCCCTTGCCACCCCTCCTGGACTGGATGTTGTGAAGGTAGAGTAGTCTGCTGACGAACATCACTTGTTTCCGTGGAGTCACCGTGAGGATTTGCCGCCATGCATGGCAAGAGACTCTGGGTGCGCTCTCCAATAGCCACCGCGTCTCCAGTAGAGTATCCCGGTGGAAAGCTGCCAGGGCAACAAAGTATACAAACACTGCAAAAGCATGCTACCAATTTGGTTCATATTTGCTCCACCATTATGTGCTTTGTGCTTTCTCGGTTGATCTGACCTTGTCAACTGATAGTTGTTGATCATAAACTAGTAGATTAAAAAAACTGGAACATACTGGAACACTGGCCTGACAACTCGAATCGGAAATTGTGCAGGTGCCGCTCGATCATTTGCCATGCTTCGTCACAAACACCTACCTTAGCCAGGCTGAGCAAAGATCGGAAAGCAACCTACTGGATCGAGAATCAGAAGGCCCGACAAGTGTGCTGGAGAGTTATTATTCAAGGGGCTTTGAATCCAAACAACTGACCAGCTGTTGATTCATCGATCCTGTATTTGGCATTGTTGGCTGCCACCCCATACTGGTTGTATTCCGTCACAGCATCCAAGAACGCTCTCCGGTAGGAAGTTGGATCATCAATGTCATAATTCGTTTCATCCTGTCAACAGCTGCACCGGGCTCCGGAAGTCAGGAGGAATTTAGAACGTGTGTTCATATGATGTTGGTCAACCAAGCCTCCAGTAGCTCTTTTGCCCGGGATGCAAAAATGAGGGCCTTTTGCAGCAACGTCTTCTTTTGCCTCTCTGTTTGCTGCTCGTGTGTTTGGATACGCCGCCATTCATAGTTGATCTCACACACCTCCTCAAGGATAGTACAGTTGACGGTTTGGACGGTTTGAATCCACCTGACAGGTCAAGTGTGCTCAGGGTTAGTTATCACCCACAGCCCCAAAAACTGCTCCAAAATATTCCCTCAGATTCCCAAAGTGTCCCCCAAAATATCCAAAGGGCGACGGTTTGGTCCAAACCATCACCCCCAGGCACCCCCAAAATATCTATCAGATATCCTTGCCTCACCATGTCTGAGACCTTCTGCGTCACCCTTTTTGAAGATTTTCGATGTTTGGCTAAAGGGCGACGGTTTCGTGTAAACCATCACCCTTTGGATATTTTGCGGGATCCCTTACTACCATGGCCCAAGAGTTCCGAGCTATGCCCAGATATAAATTCTATATCTGTTCAGCCTGCAAGACTATAGTCTAGCCATCTTCAGCTAGTTTGCAAAATATCCCAGGGGCGATGGTTTCGACCAAACCATCACCCTTTGTCGGGCCCCTGAGATTTCACCAAAAGGGCGACCCAGACTGTCTACTTTGCGGTTGGGGAGGTCTCCGGGGTGTGCCTTTAGGGGTTTACGTGTTGTCCGTAGTCCAGCCTCTTGAAATCTGATTGCTGCTCCATTGAGAGCTTATCCTTGAGCCTCAAGAACGTCCACAAAACGCCAAAGAACAAGATGGATGTTCTGCCAACACCCTTCGTGACCTGCAGGCTTGAGTAGCTCAACTTGGCGTCGACGAGCTCTTTGCTCAGCTTGACTTCGAAGGGCTCTCTCCAGTTCTCATACCCGGAGTGAAACACATCACGGGCCACTCTGACCCATGCCTGGAGAGGGGGTAGCCCCTCACTTGGCCTCTTGTACTTCAGGCAAAGTAGTGGCACGGTGAGAAGCTGGTCATCTTGTTCCTAGTGTGTCAAGGTTGAAGGAATTTCTGGGTTTTGGTCAACTAATAGACTCATAAAGGAAATTGACCTCTTCTCAAAAACGGGTTGGAGTTAGCCAAAACAAGGATCCGGGAGAGAGACACTTTCAGGTTCAGGAATCTTGTGATCACAGAACTCTTGCATCCAAGTCTGGATGGCTGGCATCAAGGCTTCGGTCATGTTAGATAGTATGAACTTCACTGGGTGCTCATCTTTCTCAACATCGAATGACCTTAACCAAGTGGCACCAAAACACTACCATCACAAAACTCAAAAGAATCGTTAGCTTTTAGGAAGCATTCGACTTCAGACGATGTGTTTTGGCATTGGCTTTAGAGGACTGAGTGGCCCGATTGCATCTAGTATCACCTCTGCCCATGGGTGATCAGGCTTGGCACCCTTCAATGCCCGGCTGGCCCCGTCCCGAGGTCCTTTTCGCTTCATGATTGATCACACCGTGCCTGCAGGCTTGAGCCTCCTGTAAGAAATGGGGGCAACTTTAGGAGTGATAGAACGAGGAATCAACTTTCACTTGAAGATCAATTGCATAGAACCTAGAGAAGCAATCCTTTTGACTCTTGTGCTTCCTGTTGCTATGCATTGCTGAAACTCTAATTTCACAATTAATTGTCAAGCAAACCGAAAAAACTGGTCAGCGCTGTGGCAGTGGCTTCGGGCCAACACACACGCCAGCAATACGCAGCCAACACTGGGAACATTCATTGCATTACCGGCCATTGATGTGGTGGCTGTATGCGAAGCACTGCTCAGAATCAACTTTGGTGACCTGCTCTTTTTGGCCTGCTCGTCGGTGCAGGGCAAAATGTGGCTCGTGAGCAACTCCACTGGGTGCATGAAGCGGCCGAGCTCCTAGCAAAGGGGGAAGCGAACATGGGGAGTGAACATTGGATTGCGAATTCCAAGAATCTTGAGCCATGTCATTCATTTCCAACCACCTAGCCTTGGAAAACAGCTTTCCACTGTTCGTTGTCAATGTGGGGAGTGCCCCGTCGATGGTCTCGCCACGGCCACGGCCGTTTGCAGGATACTGATTAAGGTCAGGGACCTTTCTGGATCTCGCTTCCGCCTCGTAGTCCTTCAAGATCTTCTCCTCTTAAAGTGGTCACACTCATTTCTGGAAAAACTGGTGTGTTTCTGAAATACCTTGGAAGGGAGTCAGATTTGGTTTGAAGAACATTTGTTTCGAGTGTCCTGGGACGGGGTCAGCACGGACTTTGGAAGCTGCATGTACAGGTAGTCCATGGCACTCAAAGTTACCCTTGCACGGAGGCATTCAACGAAAGACATCAAGCTCCCGAAGGGTGCATTCCACTGAAGTTTGTCCTTTCTCCAGCACACGTAGAAAACCCTCGCTCGGGCTGTGCCGAGCCCTAGCAGGCGGGGGTCAAGCTTCACATGAGTGATGCTCCAAAGGTTTGCCGGTTTCAAAGACGTGCGGACCACTCGTTCCTCATACTCTGGTACGTTTTCAATCACCAATATCCAGTTGTCACTCGCACTCTGATTCTTGTAGTGTGCTTCATGCACAGCTGCCGACGGCCCCAACTCCTTTCGACGAAGGCCCATCATAGAGTAGTCAATGCAGATGGGCCCTTAGCGAGTGATTAGGTATCATTCTGAAAAAAGTACACCGGGCCGGGCCAACTTGAAGCAGTATTGTCAAAAGAAGCTGTGAAATTGCAACACAGTTTGATACCTTTGAACTTCCCAGTGAGTGCTTGAGAGAGGTTGTGTCTTGCCTGAAACCTGAATCTGAGGTCACCACCAGAAACGTTCACACCGATGCCTGAGGCCGAAGGGCGTGAGGAAAACCCAAGGCAATGAGGTCTAAGGAAGGGGCGGTCGGAATCTCGATAAGGCCGTGTTGGACAACATTCCCCGTGAGCTACGCAATAGCTTTCCCTGCCACCAATCTTTGTCACATCTGTAAAGATGCACGGGTCGTGCGACGCGTACGTAGCTTTCAACACGTCTTGGCATGACTTGTCAATCTCGCAGCATGATTTGACTGATAGATGCTTGATAGCAGTTGGCATAGTAGCATTCTTCTTCAAAAACCTCTTGGCGGCAGCAGCTAGGCTGATGGCTGCCTGAGCGAACACATTATGAAAACATACAGTCACAAACACATCGCAGTCCCAGTTAAACTGTCTACTATTGAATGTCCAAATTTTAGCTTGAGGTCATGGCTGTTTCTGCGCATCCAATGCCGCTAAAGCATGTGCTCAGATCCCATCTCCAAGTCAGTAGCTGCTGACACACCCATTTGGCTCCAAAAAGTAAGGCCAGTCTATCAATGAACTTTTCAGCCCACAAGAAGCACGACGATAGTGAGGGAAAGTGACAGGGCGCGCCCTCCGGCGCAGCTGGTATTGACGTCTTCGGGTAGCGACGCCTAAGTCTCGGGACCAAAAGAAGAACACTGACTGGTTAAATCAAATAAAGGTGCCTCTTGGTCCCTAGCTCTTTCTGTTTCTTCACCGTTTTGATCACAGGCTTTCCCTTCTGCCTCCCCAAGAAGTCCACAGAGAATGGGAGAGGGTCAGAACAAATGGCCTGGCCTATCAGTTCGAGCAGTCTTCTGTACTGGTTTGCTGCTTGCAGGATTGGAGTCACTGTTTATGGCCAAGGCCACAGCCGCACGGAGCCCAATGACTTTCTTGGGCATTTTCAGCTCTGACCTAAACACTCGACTCAGAGCCTTGAAAGCACGAGGTCAGGCAGAATCAGGCTGAACACACATCACACATTGACATGTTTCTGTCCTGTAAACTTGCATATCGAAGGAGGAGTCGGACGGTTACACCACCATTTTCCAGCGTAAACAAGTGCTCTGAATTGCGACCGTTCCAAGAACAAACTCAGAGACTGTCTAATTAAGTTCTAAAGCTGTTCCACCTGTCGTGAATTCATTGTGTTTCCTCCCCAAGGTGAGGTGCAACACGCCGCTGCCGCTTTTGGTAGGCCTGCCGGTGCCAACTCAATGTGGAATGTGGACTGACAACAAGAACGGAGGGTGCCTCCTCACAGTACACTTCATCCCAAAGGCGCTTGGCTGCCTAACACAACCGTAAGACAGGGTGTCCCTACACACTGAACTTTCGATGCCCTTATTCAGCAGTGAAAGACCATACTGTTAAAGGATTTCTTTCGGGAATGGAGGCTGCCCGCCTTTCGCATTTGGATTAGCTCCCAGGTGACCTGCGAGCTGCGATGAAGTCATGGTTCCACAGTCACACCGTCACACCATCGGAACATTATAACAATAATCAGTTTTTTAGCATTAAACCATGGACCATGGCCAATCAACTGAGGCCTGTGAATCTGCATCATCATCTGCATCGTACTCCTCGGTCACCTCCACATGGTCCTGAATAAAGACTCACTCAATATCTTGGCCGACATGTTTCAAGATGTTTCAAGGGTTTGCCACTGCCCTTTGTTTGAAGTAGATTCGAGCCATCGACGTGTCCTGAGATGGCTGATCATCAGGAACAATGAAGGTGGTCTCCTGCTCGGTGGAGGTCTCCTGGCAGGCCAGGGGAATGGGAGGCCACTTGTTGAGTGTCACTCCTCCAACCTGAACCATCTCCAGGATTGCAGCCTGCCTCAGCAAGATTTGGGGCCCTAGTTTGTAGTGATCTGTGTTTGTTGGGGAAACAGTGTGTCCAGGACTGGCCTGGGTATTGTCAAAAGCGGGCAGTCTTCTAAAAGCCAAAACGGCTTCAACCAGAATGTTTGATGGTATGTCATAGTGCTGCCTGCTGCTTCCATCGAAACATGACAGTTTAGATTCACCCACCAACCTTTTTCACATCTTTTCCCCAGGAATGTGTTTCTGAGTGTTCCCTAGCTAGCCTAGCGATTCAGCTTGCCTACAAACTTCATCACCGGACAAAGCCGCGCAAGACTTGATGGCGCCATGACATCAATGTCCACAGAAGTGGACCCCCCCTGAAACCATGGAAGATCAGCCACGGGTTGTGGCGTCATATCTGTACACAGGCTCACCAAAAACTTGACTGATCGTTCAGTGGATCGTGTCGTAACCCTTTGGGCAAGTAGAATCGATGCCAATTTCAAATATGCTTCTTTTTTGCTCGGCAAGACACTCACCAAAGGCCGTGGCTCTGACGGAATCGGACCCATCATTTGGAGGTACCGGTGTGGAAAAGCCAGTAGGGGTTCCTGCAAACACACATTCAATTCAAACTTACTTGCAGACACCTGTCCTTCCATATGTTGGTGGTTCTATGGCTATTGTTGATCAAGTTCAACAGAAACATGTCCTGGCCCAAGTGATCGTCGGCTGCCCGTCGTTTCACCATCATGACCACATCTTCACAATGATCTGGTAGAGCTGCCCCCCGACCAGAAGAAACCACTGTGATATTTCTGGGCAAGCCTTCATGGGACAAACAGCTTCCTACTGTAAATCCCCCACCATGATGATGGTTTAGTCCACCTGACCCCTTTGACCCTTGAAAGAGCCTTTCCGCTGAATCATGATGAAGGCGTGCCATCCGGTCTCATCATCCTTGAGTCCGCCACTGAATGTCACGGGCACCGAGCTCAACCTGGGATGGAGCGTTGGGTTCAAGAAGCTGGCATTTCCACAATGTTCACAGACTAATGGATGAGTGAGTGTGACACTGATATCATTGATTTTTGATGATTTTTGAACTTTGTTCAGACGAAAGGCCACTGCTTGAAGTCTCGAACCCCTGAAACATATTCTGCCCTGATGACAGCTTTTTCTCCGATCCAGCTTCTGAGCCCAATGCGATGTAATAGGGCTTCAACCTTCCTTGGCTATGAGTCAACCGTCACAATTTCCCCAAATCCCGCATGACATTGTCCGACAGGTTGGCTTGCACACAATTATGCCTAATTCCACCCATGTTCAGGGTCACATCAGCAGCATCAGCCAATACATCACAGTATCTCATGGCTGTTGCGAGCAGCCCAAAGATTTGATCTTAGTCACTGGAGAAGTAGTTCAAAACAAACATTCAACGCATCATGCGTGTTCCAGATCCACATCAGACTAAGTGATGAACCTAGGGGGCCGTGAGTGTGCCCCACGGAGCTGAAGAGTAAGGCGGTCAGTGAAAAGCGATTGGAGCATACCAACCATGAGAGAAACTTGAGCACGACATTGTTTTTGGTCTCTCGGACGGTATTGTCCGCCTTACTGTTTCATGCAGAAGAGCCACGCACTGGAGCCGTGCAATGAGGGAAAAAAAGTTCTTTTGATGGCAGATCCACCCGGAGGTTCGTTGAGGTTAGTCCAACAAGACACCTTTTGTGGGTTAGTCCAACAAGACACCTTTTGTGCGCACCAAGCAACCCACACGATCAACTGTGTAGGTGGTTTGATGCCCCTTTTCAAGCATTCTTCTATGGCACGCTGTATTGAGCGACAGGCGCATTCCAAGACACTGCTTGAATCAGCGCTGCTTCGTGGGTCTAGGACCCACATGTCTAGGGATACGTTCTGTATCCATACACCGTGCAGCTTGAAGCGGGGTTTGGTGAGCATCATTGCCCCCTTGCTTAAACCACGGGCTCTGGGCACGCTCCATTTAGCCTGATCCATTCCATCCTAAGAGTAACCCTGTGCAAATAGGTATGTCATGAAATTGAACGTTGAATACAAAACATCAGCTGTGTTTTGCAACCAAAGCTCCCAGAAAATCACCATTGGAGCACTGCCATCACTGCAATCCAACGGTGACATCACCTGCATGTGGCAAACTCATCCACAACCCAATGCACTGCATTCCAACGGTGACTCATCCACAAACCAATGATGTTAGCGTACTTGAAACTGGCCTGGAGGCTTTCTTCCAGTGCCCTGTCACGACCTACCAGGTCTATATGCATTTTGAACTGCTTCCCCACGTCATACCTGGACTGCATGTCCTTGGCAGTTGAATGTAGTTCTCCGTGCTACGCCAAGCACTATGTACATCCAAACCCAAGTGTGACCTAACAATTGTCAAAATTGAATTTGCATTGAAGACCAGCCCAGTCACCTTGGCCGACCGGAACATGTCCTTGAAGTTGCTGCAGCTTTCGCAGCATCCATGGGTTGACGGTGGTAAAAATTTGAGCACGTGCGCCCAGCCGCACTCCTGGTAGGTCCTCCAGAATGTCTGGTACCTGGATGGAAGCTTAACTTCAAATCATTGACCCATTCATGTCACAGTTTGTCACAAACTCACAAAACTCAGTGCAACCACAGAACGATATCTGGTTCGTTTCGCCCATTTGGTACCATAGCATTTTTATGTTACCAGGGCTCAGCCATCTCACTGGAAGGAGTTTGATACGGTCTGGACTTGAGAAGTTGGTCTCAATTGTCCTTACAAAGGGCACAGATTTGGGAAGAAAACATGAGTTCAGGTTTCACCAAACCTTGACCATAAGTAAATCAACATCAGTGACACGTCTAGCCACTCTGTGTAGAGAGATTGGTGACCTAAAAGATGGAGTCGTAATTCCTGGTCTGACTCCAATGTCTCCTCTGCTATCTTGACTTCATCGTTGATGGAGCCAGTGTC